CGCTGAAATTTCTCTTAACAGGATTCTATTTTAAAAACAACCGCTCTATTACGAATCACGGCACGTGTCAGTGATGACAACTGCTGCAAGCCGCAAAATACACCTGGACGCAATCATGATCAGCCGTTGTCGAGGTGATGACACTTTTGTCGCCTCTCAACCAGTGGGAATTTTCCGTTTCTGGAGAAACGGGGAATTCACTTTTTTCCAAAGATGTCTACAGCCCCTCTATCTTTCTCAGTCCCCACCCCCTACCCAGTCAAGTCTTCCGTTTTGCGCTGGCGTCCAGTTCTCTCGCGATTCTATCCGCAAGTACGATCAAATAAAAAAACGAGAAAATAGAGGACTGTGAACAGTCTACCACTGACAGAGACCCTGTTCTCTATGACATTTTCTATCTTGTTCAGTATCTACTAGACATAAAGGCCGAATTTATACCTCCAGTTAATTGCAGATCACTTATTAAACAAAATGGCAATTACCAGCAAGCTTATTTTAGACGCTCTCAGGATGCTCAGAATCAAATTAAGACGCACGTTATTTAGATTCTCATAATCATAGCCCTCACTAGAAATAACGGTTGCACGAATTTCGAGAGACGGGGAATCCTTGTTTTAGAGAAGGTTAAGTTTGAGGTCCTTTTTACTTGGCATCTTAATTTCTACAGAAGCTATGCAAAATAATTATCGCGTATTTGAAGAACTTGTTTTCTTTGATTTGTGGATTATAGATTGCAGTTTCTGGTTTCTGGTTTCTGGTTCCTGATTCCGGTTCCGGATTCCGGGTTCCAGATTCCATGTTTTAGCTAGGGTTGCCCTACTAAAAGACGGTAACAGAAGTCTGTTAAACTTCGTTAACTTCGTGTAAGGGTAGCTGGGGGCGTATATGAACTTCCTTGCAGGGTAGGTGAGGCAAGTGACGCTTTGAAAATACTGAGAAATTGCCTGTCGCACTTAGGTACCTTTGTGTTTTTGGTTCTTTGCATATTCTAGGGGGTAGGGGAACGGTTTGTTTTCCGAAACAAACATGGCGTGGTTTTCTTTTAGACGGCAAAATGCTGTACTTAAAACTAAGATTTCGAAATGTAAGGAATAAGCATCAAGAAGACTCGACCGATGGTTAGGAGGGCCACAATGGCTTTAACGCAGTGATATCGTCCTTCGGGTTGCAAGAAGGTCTGAATCAAAAATCTTCTCGAATACACATGAAGTACACGTCAAACAAAACCGCGCTACGGTCCATAGTGGTACGTAAGTTTAAAATGGACTTCAGTTCTTGGGCCCTACGGTATGGAAATATCGCTAGTTCAACCGAATTTGTCGCTTATTAAATTAGCATTCTCTTCGAAAGGAATATTTTAGGTGTTATTTATACAAACGTTTCAGCTGACTTTTGCGTTCTCAACGGATCGACAACAATACGCATTTGGTTGGCACAAATACACTCTTGGAGAACGGTTACATCCAAGTCACTATTTTTCATAAACACGAGCTTTATGTCGTTCACCAATTTATTATTAACTGAAGCTTTCTGACTTCGAACTTTCCGTTCGGAAGCGCTCGTTGATTATAGCTTTTCAAACCTACTTATGAACCTACAACTTCGATTCGCGAAATACTGTCGTACTCGTAGTTGTAAAATTTTAAGACTGCCACGTCAACGTTATTTTTGACAGGCCGGCTGAGCCAAATCAAACTCGCTGATCATGTTTAAGGTTTTCTTCACCAGTTAGATATATTATTTATAACAACTGTTGTTAATGGAAGAAAAATATATATTTGTGGTTCATAAATGTTCAACGATAAAAGCGTCCACTCCTTAGCTTCGAAGCCATGAATAACGAATATGTTCTCTCCTATACCAGAATGAATCTAATACTGTAGGAAGACATTTGTTCAGTAGTATGTCATGTACAAGAGACTGTTTGCATGGATAGCGCCAAATGCTGTTCAGATCGGTGCAAATGTCAGAACTTTTCACAAAAAGACAGGAATCTTCTGCTAGACATATTAGTGTGTAGTATCACAGTGGAGTTTGTAAGCTTTTGAGTCATCCAGTGAACTCGGCAAACTACTGGAAGACTTACCGAAAAATATGTAAGAGGCTACATACTAAATTTATTCAGAATTAATTCATTCGCAAAAGTAATATTTAAGGTCGCTCAATGGAAACCAAAAGTCATTCAAAAGGGAAGTGATTAAACTTCATATAATTATATGTTACATTATAACTTAATATATCGGCAGAATATAATGATCTAAGCACAAGGAAGCATTGTCATAAGACTTAAATAGAACTGACTCAAAACAATTTGAAAAATACTACAAACCGACATTTTAATATTCTTCCTACGTCATTGTGAGTGTAAGCTAACAACAACTTTCATGTGTTCCGGTCTGATAGGCGCCTATTGTTTTCTCTTCAACAGCTTCCAAACAAAAGACTACTCAGATGAACTTATTTATGAATCGTAGTTCGCGGCAAGTCAATTTTTTTGAAAAACCGACGTAATATGTCGTGATTTCAGTATTTCCTCCTTTTTCTGGCAAATTTCCTTCTCGGAAGAAGTCGAACACCGGGCAAACACCGCGTAATTTTATTGGTGAAAAGTAAATTTGGAAGTGGTTGATTGGTCGACGAGGCTGCAAGCAAGAAAATATTCGCGGATTTTGTTTACAATAAGGTCTTGTAAACAGGGAAGCGAAATCAGCGAAGTCATTTCTCCACGACAGTCAACCGATTAAACTCTCAAAGTTTATTTTTCTTGAGTTTTCAAAATGCGCTTGTTGTTCGCAGCTTGTTTTGGCGTACATGGCGTAGCCTTGCTCATTCTCGTTGCTATACATGGCGCCGAATCTGGCACCTGTGACAAGACTAACGTCTGTCCAGCCATTAAGGCCTTAGAAAAGAAATTGGAAAAGCTTATCGCGCTTGTTACCCCGCCAGGTAACTTGGATTAACTCATTCTTTATTGTATTTTTTTATTATTTTGCTTTCGTTTGTTTCTGTTATTATTTTTTTTGATACCAAGCTCCTCACATGAGTTTAATTTTCTTCACAGTTCCTCCCGCTTCTTCTTGCAAGGAACTGCATGACAAACACAAGTAAGTTTACAGCTAAATATATTTTCACCTTCTACATCAAAACAATCCTTTACATGACGCTACACTGATTTAATAGGGCCTGAAACACCTACAATGTAGTGGCAAGGCGCTGCCAAGCAGCTTTATGCAGGTCATTGATTTTTCGACCGAGATTGGGGGGAAGTATGTCGGGGCTTTTGTTATTGGCGCACGGCGTTTTGTTCTCTTGTCGGAGCAATAAAAATCGATCAGTGACTTAATTCATGAACTGTTCTAAAATAACGATTTGCTTTCATTCTCTCCAGGGATAAATTTCAAGCCGAATTAATATGCTTAAACAAACAATGGCGTTGTATGCCAAAACCTGAAATATCTTATTTTCACTCATCAGCTTGCGAGTTAATAAAGCTTACGTGTTGCAGACTGGCGGTGGAAAGATCCCTGTGTATTGTCACATGACCAGCCAGTTCATTGGCGCATGCGGAGGGGGAGGGTGGACACTGGTCATGAAAATTGATGGCCATAAGGTATAACAAACTAGATGAAAGCAAAGATCCTGGTTTATTTAGCTGTTTTGTTTGTTAGTTGAAAAAGGAGAGTCCAGTAACGTTGTCAGGGTTTTGAAAACGTGCTTTTTTGTTTCTTTCCTTTCAAATAGTTAACCTTTCACTACAATTCCCCACTATGGACCAACAAGAATGAGTTTAACCGTCCGGGTGGCAAGACTGGGTTTGATTTTCAAGAGACCAAGCTACCGACCTACTGGAACGCACCCTTCTCCAAGATTTGTCTTGGTATGAAGATCGGCCATCAGATCAAGTTCATGGTCGTTAACAGGCACGCCAACTCTCTGTACTCACTGATCGCTGATGGAAGATACCGCCGGACCTCACTGGGTCGTAACACGTGGAAGACGTTGATTGGTTCACAGGCTTCCTTGCAGACCAACTGTAACAAGGAAGGGTTCAATGCTGCAGGTAGTGCTCAGGGCTCGTCCAAAGCAAGAATCGGTTTCCTTGGTAACAACGGAAACGATTGCTTCACTCCTGACTCGAGAATCGGGTTTGGTACAGGAGGATATCATGATGACTCCAACACGTGTGGAAACGAGGCTAAAGATCACTCGAGTTCAGATAATGGAGGCAAACACATCAAAGCCATGGGTTATATTTTGGTGCAGTGATAAGAACGGCCCAGTCACTTGACCTTTCAAGACCATTCAAAGAAATTGAATGTTGTGAAACAAATGAGATTAAACAAGGTGGTGGGAATAAAAAGAAATGTTGTTTTTGACTTATTTTATTGTGTTTTGCTGATATCAGGTTTCACCCATCGGCGCGGGTTTCACTGAACGTGACTCATCTGCAATTAACAATTAGCTTGACTGTACGCAAAAGTATCGATAACACCTCGAGTTGCACTTCTAAAAATTCTATTATCTGCGAAATAAGGAAAAAACTGCCTGTATTTGTTTTTGACACGGAAGGAATATTTCTGCAGTTTTTGGATGCATTATTCCGAAATATTTCTCAACTATATAACGCTGATAAATTTAGCAAATGACAACAACCAGTTTGTCCGTGAATTGCATACATCTTAAGGACTTTCCCGCCAACTGTTTCTGCGCGTCCTAACCGCGCACGCAAATTCACACGCCACGTCATGCAGCGTGCACGCGCTAAGTAATAAAATGAACAGTGATGGGCAGATGGCTATTGCTATAGCTTTGGCTGGATGTAAGGATCTTGGACGTTGGGTGACCCCTATTTTTCTTTTGATGGATCGTTGTAAGCGGCGATTGAAGTTAAATTTCCTTTTACAGAAGTCTCCCCTCCGGAGGGAAAAGGGGGTTGCATTCTTGTTAGTAACACAACAACAAAAAAAGCAACGAGGAAGCGTTAGGTGTGATATTGTGGAAAATGGCGGCGAAATGTGAGCGAACGCGGAGTTTGCTTTCGAGAAGTATGTTAGATTTTGTTGTCTTCTTTCTGCTTTCATCAGCAACAATGCAGTGAGTCTCTCGTAAGAACTGGGACAATGTCTTCAGAGGAAAACAGACTGAAGTTGTTTAGCTTTTATGCCGTTAGAACAGGAAGCGAAATCAGAAACATTTGTGTGTCTGGGTAAGCGAGAGGGCATGCGCAGGATATCTATGGGTAATCAAATGGTGACGAGTGAGATTAGGAAATAATTTCACACGTGTTTTGTCAAAATTCTTATAATCTAAGGCGAGGGAAATCATTAGAATTTTGACTAAACGTAAGTGAAATTCATTTCCTAATTTCACGAGTATACCATTTGAATCCCTTTTGATCTCGTGGGTGACAAATTACGCTTACTATCCTGGGTTTTTCACTTCTTTGTTGTATCGAGAAATCTCGCGCCAAGCGTTACCATGGCAATTTTGCAACTGATCGCAGACGATCGCAGAAGTGTGTTTCCATATGATCCCAGACGATCGCAGAACTTTTTGCGATCTGCGATACGCGATCCGCGATCATCTGCGATCATATGGAAACCAGCCTTAAGCAGTAATCTGTCAGCCATAAAATTTTATGACAACCGCGATGTTCCGCGTAATGTTGTAGCTGATAAAATCAACGCGTTGAAACTGTATGCTGCAGAAATAAAGCAAGCTTTTTCTTCACACTCAGACATGCGGTGCAGTGCGGGTTGTAAGGACGTGCGCGCGAAAAGGTTCTACTCGATAGATTTTTTTCACACTTCCATACTGATACATAATGAATTATTGGTTTCAGAAACGAGAAAAAAATGAGGGTCACGGACTTCACTTCAGAGATAAAGCGTGTGAAAAACTGATTTTGAAAAATTGCAGCGCAAAAATTAGCATGGTCCCCAGGGTTTTTAGCTTAAAATATCGAAGATAAATAAATAGAAACAAACTATAATAGTAGTATTTTATATAAGTGAATCCGTTGCGTTAATAATTCCAAATTCTGCCAACGTTTCCACAAAACCTAACCCCTCAAGAGGTATTTGAAACCGCCGCACAGATAACTGGTTGAACCAAGAGCTAAAAAGAATGGAATTCGATGGCGCATTTTGCAAAAAAATTCAAACTTCTAATTGATAGATTTGCTCCATTTTTTCGCTAAACGTAGACAATCGATAGAGAAAATAATCCATCAAAAGATAAACGGTGTTCACCGAACGTCCAAGATCGTTAAATCGAGCCGCAGAGCTATAGCAATGCTTATCTGCCCTATCATTGTTCATTTTATTACTTAGCGCGCGCATCGATGCATGACGTGGCGTATGCGCAGTAAGGATTCACCAGAAACAATTTGCGCGAACGTCCTTAATTTTATCCTGCTTTACTTGGCGCGGGCCTGCTGGCAAACTTTAATTTTACAGGGTTTTGGAAGAGAATTAAGTTTTTATTTATAAGATTCAAGATCACTGAACAGAAGCCTGAACTTGACATTTTAATAATGGTCAATAATCTTTTTGATCAATGTTATTGTGTTTTACATCTGTTGCACTTTGGGAGGAATAAAATTTCAGACATATTAGAGTTAAGACCAACCTCTTCTTCCCCAAAAAAGCGGAAAGCCATATTAACGAGGGATTAACAGACTCAAATAACCAAGGCTTCACAAAATCTGATCAACGTGGCTGAAATATAGCAATTTTGGTTGGGTATGTTTGAGACGTACGCGGCTGACACCCGAGCTCACTGACCTTGCAGTGAATCGTAGATACTATACATAGAGCGGTTTTCAACTGGGTGGAATAAAAACAAAACCAAAGTAATCACTCTGGCCAGTTATAAAAAGCGCATACAACCAAGAGAGCCGCTGAAAACTCGAAGCATACACTGAGTCCCTCAAATAATAAAGAAAAAGGATGAATAAAATCGAGAACGCGAGTTTTGTTTTCATGTCCCCTATTTTGAATTTAATTTGGTAAATGTAAAAGGTCTGGGACAGCTGACGCAAATCGAAAATTCTCGCGGCATCCGATCTCCCACCAGATTAACTTGTAATAAAATTGAAAAAGGTTATTGCATAATGGCTGAGATTATGTCATATATCCTCTGATTTGATGTAAGGGACTTCTGTGTGCAAAGTATATCAGTGTAGCTGACGCGGCGTGCGGGACCTGCTTTTGATTTTGGTTTTAATTCTGTTGAATGACAAAGCAGCACGAGTAATGCGAAGTCAAAGCAAATGTAAATTTCTTTCCACATGCACTCAAGTGTAAACCGTTCTACAGACATCTCACAGCGCAATAAAGAACGTATTGAACGACTTGGAAAACTCATTTCTTCTCCGCAAGACAACTGGCATCGAATACCAGTGGACAACTCTTAGCAAAGGACTCTCAGTAAACGTCGCAAAGCAAATTTGTTTAGAGACTCCCGCCCATTTACATTTTTTTCTATCGCGTGTTTTCGCGCGTTTAGCGATGCGGCACACTCGCGTTTATGGTGTGGGGATCCCAAACTATGCTTACGGGGCTCTATAAAAATGCTAGTTTTGGTCTTCCACCAAATCTACACAAACGTATTTCACTTGTGGAAGTCTATGGACAATGCCTGGGTTGAAGATTCTTGCCTATTTATATTTTTTTCACTCGCGTGTTTTCGCGCGTTTAGAGATGCGCCACACTTGCGATTTCGGTGTCGGCATTTCAAACTATGCTTACTGGACTTTTTAAAGATGGTAGATTTGGCCCTTTCTCAAATCTACACACGTGTATTTCACTTGTGGAAGTCTATCGATTTGGACAATGTTTAGGTTGGAGATTCTCGCCTATATCAACTTTCTTTTCTCTCGTAAGTTCTCGCGCGTTTATAGATGCGCCACACTCGCGTTTTAGGTCCAGGGATCCCAACCAGTGCTTACCTAACTTTTTAAAGATGCAACTTTTAGCCCTACTCCAAATCTACACACGTGTATTTAACTTGTGGAAGTCTATCGATTTGGACAGTGTTTGGATTGGAGATTCTCGCCCATATAAACTTTCTTTCCTCTTGTTAGTTCTCCCGCATTTAGAGATGCGCCACACTCGCGTTTTAAGGTGGCTCCATAAGGTAATCATTCATGGCGTTGCGACCGCAAGTGTTATGTTTTGAATGCTG